TCAAGTTTGATGAAATGTCCTAATATGTAGATGTAGATGCTAAGTCATTCAGTCACCTAGCTTGTGAGAATGGTGAGAGCCTGCTCAAATTATCATTCAGCACAAATAAACTAACATTGTTTTTATTAATTAATGTTTTATAGCATAAGATTTTTTATTATTGAGCAAGTAACAAGAGGTTTATATTCTTAATTCCTTGATAATGCATAACAATTATAACTTTTGACAGGTAATCTAAACATGCTAAATGCCTACATGCATAATCATTTTACATTTTATTTAAGTATAAATATTAAAAATGACTATACTCTATGACATAAAATCATGCATGCATTATTTACAGGAATGCTCACAAAAAGGACAAGAGCTCAGAGCTGTATGGAAATTTACACAAAGGTAAGATTTTCTAATCATTTTCCTAATCAATAAAATCAAAAGAATTGAAATTATGTGTTTATCAATGTTAGCCAGGCATTGAGAAAAATTATTATGAACGTTAGACTCCACTCTTTCAAATATATTTTAGTTATTTTAAGAAGTTGTTGCTTTTAACTTGTTTCCTATGTCAGTTCTCTGTCCTGTTCACAAGTTTTTACCTACGCCTTGTCAATGTCATTCATCATATTCTTACACAAACCTATATAACCTTAGTCGCAGATATAAATTTCCAGAAATAAAGAAGTACATGTATACATGTACTAATATATTATCTTACTCAATACTGAATTGTTGATGCATGGAAGTTACATGTATTTATAACAGTTTATTTAATATTTTCTTAATTTTTCAAAAATAAAATATATGTACATGTATTTGCATGTTTGAAGCCTAGAACAAATGTATTCTATATATTCACTTTATGTTATTTGCTTTGTCTATATTTTTGTTACATTGTAAATTAACCAATGTGCATTTAAAGCAATTACATATGCCTATAAATTCGTCTTTCCTCTTTTCAAGGGTCAGTTAACGGAGTAAGCAGATATGGAGGATAATATATCAAAGGCAGCATAGGCGTCCAAACTCCTGTTCTAGGTGCTTTTAATCAGAAGCTTAAGAGACAAAAGACGAGCCATTCACAAGGCAAAACTGAATGTTTTATATGGTATATAAATTATATTTACTAATGTACTTTTTTTCATACCTTAACTTTATTTGCTGAATGTTTTTAAGGGTACATAGTTTATGTAATTTACAATGTTCTCTCTAATATTCAAGGTTAATTAACTTAGACACAATCATGTCTCTTTATTATTTTTTTTAATTTCACAACTTCCATTAGTTTAAAAAGAAATCAATCCTAATCTGAACAACAAATTACAAGATAATAAATTCCTATTCTATAGTATTAAACTGATCTGCCAGGTTGAAAGAACCAATTGTCTTATATAGCTTTAGTTTATTATTTGTCATATATTTATTTATGAGATAGATATCATACATCTTCATGGTAATCTTTTCTTTCAGAAATTGAGCAAGAAAAGTTTGAAGTGTCTTTGGGAATGATCAACATCAAACTTGCTGAGCTTTTGAAGCCGTTGTACCAAAAGTGAATCCATTCGTGACACCAATTATCTGACCACCCTCTAGCAGAACCAGTGAGCAGGGTTCTCCACAGGGGGTTTTACCATGGCGGCCCGCCATGGTTAAATTTATGTGCGCCATGGTTAAACGAGCTGCGCCATGGTTAAAATCGGCGGCCGCCATGGTTAAATTTTTATTGCATTTTAGTATTTACACCTACTTTTTAATGACTTGAGTAGTTAATTGTGTTTATACTACGACTGCCATGCATCTGGCATGCCTCAAGGGAAAGCGGACTGTGCTAAACAAACATGGTCGCTGATCGGCGACTATGCTGTGAAGCGTGACAATGGAGGGTCAATAAGCTGAAGATCAATATCTTGAGAATTAATTATCCTGTACTGTACATGTAGTACACAAACATGTAATTTCGGGAAATTCCAACGTGTTCACTATATGATAACAGATCATAATGAGCAGTAGGTGTGCCCAGAAAAAATGAGCGATTAATTCCTCATGCTTTGTTTTTAAGTATTAACTTTATTATCTTTCTGATAAAATGTAGGCCTACGTAAGTGCCAATCGTCGTCTTAGTTTTAGAGTTACCTCCCGTTTTTATGAAACTTCGCGTGGCGCTATTTTTAGCACGGGCACGTGGAGGAATAAACAATGGCAGCGAAAATGCAATATGTAGAAAAAATAACGTTAAGAAAAAGACATAATAGTGAAAACAAAATTACAGTAATGCAAATTAATACCCCTGGTTATACTAAGTTACTTTTACCATGTATGCCACCAGTAAGTTTTCATACTCTATCATGCAGTTAAAATATAAAAAGCTTAGGCATTAGTAGGATGTCGGCTTTCGTTTGTTTGTGTGTCTTTTAACTTTTTTTTAAAAGTACTACCAATTCATCAGTTTTAGTCATATTTAAATAAAACGTTTTATATAACAGGCAACATCAATTCTGTATATCAGTTTTTGAATACTGTTGCCATGGTTACTCTATCAAAATATTATTTTGAAATTCCTTCAAAATGTTCCTACAGTTTTGGACAATTTTGGTACATTTGTAGAGTAATTAAGATACATAATCCTTTTTTATTTTCAATTTTTTAGCTTAAAAAATTATTGGTTATTTCAACTTTTTGTGCTGCAGTGGTTAAGTTTTGTGAATTAACCAATCATTGATTAATGAAGGTTAGGAAGTCTAACATGCATTCGTGTTTTTGGTCGCATTGCGCCTTCGAGCAGCTTCCTCCATGGTTAAATTTTCAAATGTGGAGAACCCTGAGTGAGGAAGTGATTCTAGCCAATACTTCAGAAGTTTAGGACCTTCAATAATAAGGATCTTGGGGCATGTTGGGGAAAAAAATAGCATGTGTTGATTTTATGGGATCTTCCAAATATAGTTGTGTAGTAGGTATTTGTGTACTTAATACCTATGTTTGTCATTCTAGTCATTAACTTTGTATGGTAAATGTATATGGACCACTGGAAGATCATTGTAACTGTATACAAATGTTGCAAATATACCCTGTTAAGGCTTTAGTGACCTTTCCCAAGGTCATTCAATGAAGCAAAAGGTCATTATTAATGTTTTTTTTTTAAATCTATTTTGTTTTATTATCAAAAAATGTCATATGTTTGAGATTACTCTAGGTACAAAGGATTTTCTTTAATCAAAAGTCTTTCGTTTCTCATGCAGACTGTAATTTACCACATGTACATGCATGTATATTATAATAATTCTCATTAATTAAACCGAGGTGATCATCCAGTAATGATATTTTTCTGTGGATTTTTAACATTGTTTAAATAACCTTTGATGTAAAATACTTTCAGTGATAATACTTTTTAAAATTTGTGCTTTCATTATACATAGAAGTGTGTATGCAATATTTGTCCCCGAACACATTGTAAAGCAAAAATGGTTTTTTATTTTGAAAATATAGATTTGATTTATGAAAATTTGTGATGTAGTCTTTTTTTTGTAATTATTTGGCCCTTAAATTATTTTAATTATTCCAGTTTTTTGTATTTTCCTGGAATTCCTTGGATTTCCGTGGAATTCCATAGATTTCCAAATATCCTGGAATTCCATGGATTTCCAGCTATTTCCCCAAATTTCTATTCTGGCATTGTTCCGCTCTTTTCCAGGCTAGATTTGAAATTCCATACCATTCCGAAAAAGTTCTGTCCCAATACTCTCGAGAATTCCTCGGAATTCCATGGAACACTTTTTCCATGGAATTCCACGGAATTTGTTATGGAATTCCACGGATCTTACGGAAAATCTACATTAGAGTGTTCTTGTGGTGGAAAGATATTTAATAGAAAGTTCTACAAATCTACACAATCTAATATCTTGGAATTTTAGCCCTACATATTTTTACTCGGAGCATTTTCCCCGTTATCATAGGCTAGGAATTTGAAATGCAGGTGTCAATTAATATTTTTGGAACAAATTTTACATGTTCACTCAACAGAATTTGCCAAAAATGAATATATATTTAAAAAGTCAAGACAAAATTCACACAGTTTTTTGCCTGAGCGTCAAATTTAGTATTTCTCAGCAAATTCGATTAAAGCAACTCAATTACTTTTTTTTTGTTTTTGAAGTTTAATTTATTTATGGCAAGAAAGAGTAATACCACAGTTTTGGAAAAACTGTCTATTTGTGTTAAATTGCAATTCCGGAAGTTATTTTAGGAAAAAGTTCATTTGGAGCAATGTGCACAGTCCGAATTTTACTCTTCGTCTCGGCATTCCTTTAAGAGCTAGTTCGCCGTTATGAGCAGCACTCACTTCTAGTTTTCTTTTTCTTTAACATCATTAAATCTATGCAGATAGAACAAATCTGACCTCTCTAGGCCTTTCGTGTAATTCCGAGGCGCCTCTACATTTTACATTATTAGAAATCGTCACATCTGTTGCTTTCAGTTTCAGTTTATTAGACTGAAACACTACAGCACTGTGATAATTTTTAATAATAAATTCATTTTGTGTTCATGAGTGTTTCAAAATGAAGATTGGCTGTTGGTGACATAGGCGTTTGGTTTCAGGTGCATGGATGGTGTATTTTGTGTAAAATGTGTTTTTCTAGGTGTGTCTGAATACACTCATTAAAATAAAAATCGAAAATCGCTGAAATTAGCACGTTTCAAAAATATCATAACTACTGTATATAAAAAGAACCAAGGCACGACAGTTGCCATCTTAGATTTCAGGGGGTGTCTCGGTTCACACTTGATTTTAATCAATATGTACACTTTTCCTACCGTTGTCGGATGAGATCTAGCTTCAAAAATGATTGAATAACGCCCTTCAATCATGTGCTGATTTGAACTGAAACCAAGCGCCTGTGGTTGGCGACTGTCATTTATTTGTTAGAAAATGTAGATGTTATATCTTATTGCATACAATACTGCATGTCGATAAAAAAAAATCCTTATTGATAACATTTATTAAAGTTATGAATAAAAGATCTTTAAAATAATGAAATATTCTGTCTGAATTTTTTTTTTATCATATCTCAATTTTTTCTCATATTCATAAGTGATTTATAAATATTTTACGATTTCATAGAAAGGATTTTACAAGAAGTACATTCAATGGAGTGTGTAAGATATTCACACAATCGCCGGTATTAATTAATGATAAATAAGACTTAGACTATTACATTTTGTTTTGAATATGCTACAGCTGTGCATTACACATTTTAACACTTCACATTCATCGCGCTGTGCAACATATCGGCATCAACATGTGACAAAATCTAGGAAATTAGCACCTGAAGAGTTTTCGTAGTTTTGTCAGAGATAATGGGTATATATACAATTTGGGTATAAGTATATTATATTTGTCTTCTTCGTTTGATGAAAAAACATTCAGTGCTATTCTTTAATCTTTGACTTTCATATACATGATTTGTAATGTATCTGCGTTGAAAATTAGTCTTTTCTGTTGATCTCACAATATGTGTAGCTGATTTGTAAATATCACATTTTTAAATAAAAATTTTATACTTTTTTCTTCGGAATAAAAATATGTCATTAAAAACTCAAGTATTTTTAAGGTCTTCCGTCACAACGGAAGACCTTCTACTGATTCTGATGGTTAAGATTATTATTCTTTTTTTTTTCTTCTCCTTTCTAGACGCCAACTTTGAGACCTCATATCTAGCTCATTTCTCAACGGATTTTGCTCAAATTTTCAGAATTTATAGACGTTACAAAACTCTATCAGAATGTTGTCATACATTTAAAAAGTCCCCTTCCGCTTTGGAATTATTTCCCTTTAAATGAAAATTTAGGGTGTTTCATTTCCAGACAAAGGCTCAGAGACTAAAAATGCTGGAGCAGAAATACTACTGAATTTGAATAATAGAAGCATTGAAGTTGTGCACATCTATTTTTGTTTTTTGATTTCTGCGTTCAAAATGGCGCTAGATAGGGGAAAAAATTAGAACGCCTAAAAGCGCGAAAATTTACACATATTTTCC